GTAACTAGTATCTTTTAGTCAGGATTCCAAAAATGGTGCCGAGATTAAATTTAAAGCAAACCTCCCTCCCCTGCAAATGAAACGTTAAAACATTTTTTCCCCGTGCAAATATCATTTGCCCCTCCCCTTAAGTGGTTATTTTGCCACAAATCTGAAATCATATTTTATTATTATCGGAGGGTTTCTTGCCTAAACCTGCCAGAGGGAAGGAAACCTAAGTGTCGTCTGTGTTTTTAAAAACATAAGGCTGTTCTCTTGTTCCTTACACTTTCTGTTTTATAATAAGCTACGGAGAAACTGTTTGTTTGGAGGCATCATTAGGGAGCTACAAGCTCAATTTGAATGTGAGCTATGTCTTCAGGATTAACTAAGGAGCTATTTCCTCTCCAGGAATTGAAGTGAGGCTTCTTTGGCTTGTAGTAGGTGAGAACACAGCCTCACCAGCGTGGCTCTCTAATTGTTGGAGATTTGGATTCTCTTCTTGGAAATGAGAATCAAGGACTCTGCTATTGAAGGGAATAACATTTTTGTGATTTTTTATAACTTTTGCTTCTGAATGGTCATCCTTGATGAAAATGTTAGTCATAGGATAAATTATTCTTATGTTAAATTTATTGTATTAATTTGTATGATAGGCAGTCTACTTACACTGGAGTAGTTTCGGTAGATATAAAAAAAGTATAGCGTAGAAAAAGTGTTAACTCTTTCCCACCATGTCCCACAGTGCCCAGTTCCTTCCCCAGGAACCAGGGCTGGGGCTCTTAGTGTCCAGCTAGACTTATCCTCGTGCAGTCACCACCCCCGCGCGCCGCAGTCCGAGCTGGAGCGTCTCGGCCCTGGCGGTTACCGTTGCCTCTGGGTGGCTCTGGCGGCGACTGCGGCTCGCGGGGTCTGCAGAGAGCAGTGGGCTGGCCCTGGCCCGTGGCCGCCTTGAGCAGCCCAGCGCTGGGACCGGAGAGGCGAGACGGCGGCTGCGGGTTGTGCCCGGCCCCCTCCTTGGCGGCTCCAGCCCTCGGGCGGCTGCGGGCTCCGGGCAGCCCCGGGGCGGCGGCCGAGCCGGCGGCTCGGAATGGCGAGATAGCAGCGCGGGAGCGGCCGGTGAGGGCAGGGGCGGGTGGGCGCGGCGGGGGCAGTCGGAGTCGCGGTGCCCGGAGCGGGGTCCCGTGGGCACGTCGCCGCGAGCGCCCGGCGGTCCGGGCGGGGCTGAAGGCAGCGCTCCCGCCGGCCCTGGTCCCGGGGTCTGGGAAGCGTCCGAGGTGACTGACCCAGGGGAGCGCTGTTCCGGGTCGCGCGGTCGACCGCGCGCACTGTGGGTCACTCTCCGGGCGCCGACTCCCCCGCTGCCAACTTCTGCCCACGTAGGGCAGTGAGTTCTGAGGCCAGAGGCTACCTGCGAAGTGGGAAGGAGCTTAAAAAATTTTTTTTCCTCGTGGAGATGTGACCCGCCAACTGACTTCGTACCCCGGTGCTCCAACTCCTCTTTAAACCAGTTCTTGGTCTTTTCTGTATTTATGGTGCATTCGATACCTGTGTTCTGTGTCCGAAGGCGCGGTAGTCATTACACCCAAGGTTAAAGTGTTGGC